GTAGCAGGGGCAGCAGCAGTAAAAGGGCCAGTAGCAGTAAAAGGAGCAGCAGCAGTAAAAGGAGCAGCAGCAGTAAAAGGAGCAGCAGTAGCAGCAGTAGCAGCAGCTGCAGGTGCCACCGCCGCTCGGAAGGCGCCATGTTGCCCTGGCGTTGCCGTACCCTGCTGCTGCTGCACCGCCGGCGACGACGCCGACGTCGACGCCGACGCTGGTGCCCCATTACTATCGTCGGGCTGCTGCCTGCTGAAGGCCCTGAGGCGCACTTCCGAAGACGCCGACGGGCGAGCCTCCGATGGCGACGCCAACGACGTCGGCGGCGGCGGCGGCAGCGACGGCGATGGACTTTTCACGCCGGCAGCGGCCCTACTATTATTGTTGTTGCCACTGCCGGTGCTGCGAACGGCTGGGAAGCCGCCAGAGCCAACCAAAACCCTTCCCCCCGTCGCCGCCGCCGCCGTCGCCGCCGTCGCCGCCGCCGCCGTCGCCGCCGTCGCCGTCGCCGCCGTCGGCTCTGGAGGGCCCGGCACGGTGACTAAGCCATCCGCTTTGGTCGGCGTGAGCCCCGCCATGTACAGGCATGCACCAGCGGCACAGCTGAATGCGACCTCGCCAAAGCACTTGGTCGCCGTACACATATTGTCGTACGTAGCCCGGCGTCGGCAACACACCGGCTCCTTTCCGGTGGGGCAGGCGGCGCAAACCTGCGCTTCTTCCAGCACCTCTGTACGGCGAAGCGAACATCCATGCACGTCGCGGATCGTTAGTTAGTTAGTTGGTTAGTTGGGTTGAAGATGCGAGCGCCCACCTGCTGAGGGTGCCGAAGCCAGCGGCAAAGATGTGCCGTACTCATCCTCCATGTCTTGATCTTCTTGGCGGAGAGCGTCGCCGCCACCTGCATCTTCACTGCCGCCGGCGCCGCCGCCACTGCCGCGGCCGTTGGTGTTTCCGCTGCCATTCCTGTTGGCGGCGCCCATCACGCCCCGAAACCACGTGGCTGTGGCATTGACGACACCCGACTGCATCCTGGCGGCTTGTGCCGTAATGTTGGATGCCCCTGCGCCCGCAGGTTGGTGGTTGGCGGTTGGTGGTTGGTTGATGACTGGTACGGAACCGGTAGGAAACCGACACACATGATGGCTAAGAGACATGCGGCTGGGTGGAGGGGAGTGCGCCGAGAGTGAGTTGGACCCCGACAAGGGGGAGGGGGAGGGGGGGGAGAGCAAAACACACTTGGACACGCTCTCACACACACTCCGTTGGGGCTGGGCAGCAGTCCCTGGCCAGTGTCAGGCCCGGTCAGATTCATGTAACCTAGCACACACTCTCTCGCACAGAGATAAGCGACGATCTGGTGTTCGAATCCCAGTGGCGGTATCTAGGTTTATTTTATTTGAATTGGAAGATGTGGGCTCCGATCCCACCGCTGCATTAGATCGGGTTGTTGAAGATTGGAGACACCGAGGTTCCTCCAGCACGCTGGGCGGCTGGGGAGGGGGAGCTCACCCCATTATGAAGATTTATACACTGCCGCAGAGCAGTGGCGGAGGATTAGTTCGGCATAGGGCCTGGACCAGGCTGGGTATACCAGAGGCTGGTGGTGGTTGGATAACGAAACCAACGGGCGGCGGCGCCAGGATTCGCAAGGATAGCGCGTGGCGCGATGGGCGCCGGTGTGATGAGTGCAGTGAGTGGCAGATTGCGCAGCTGTAGAGCTGGCGCGTTCGGTGGAAGGGAGGTTGCTTGGCATCTGAGCTGGTGTGTGTGTAGCTGGCTGGAGGATTCGAACAGGTGACGGCGCCGCGCGTTGACAAGGGAGAACGGTTATGAAGGACTCTGACCGATATAACGCCAATCCAATGCTGGAGAGTGCTTCGGCGGTTGTTCCCGTTGGGGTACGGTACGGTTAGGTGCCCCTGGCCAGTGTCAGGCCCGGATCGATGTGTAACAAATATACACACACACGTCACACGAAAGTACACACGTACACACATACTCACGTACATACGTACATACATACATACGCGTACCGGATCGTAGGATATCCGCGAGGTTCTCAAACGCCATTTGAGAGGTCGCGGATCCGACCCCACGTTGTTGTTGTTGTCCGCGACCTCCTCCATTGGGGGTGTTGTACTGACCGTACTGACCGTTGTTCCCCGACCTGGCGGCGGCGGCGGCGGCGGCGGCGGGACCTAGCGCCGCTGACAAATCAAGCTGGGGCTGCTGCTGCTGCTGCTGCTGCTGCTGCTGCTGCTGCGAGGATGCGTTTCCCATCCCCGGTCGAGGTGGCGATGCCCACCCCTGATGAGCGGAAAGCGTCGCTAACAAGGCTGCAAGGGATAGAGCCTGCAGCGCCGGTCGGGAGAGACCGCCGGGACATGCGGCGGGTGCGGGTGCGGGTCCCATGGACCAGTATGTATATTTATTTACCACTTTTTACCACTTTTTACAAAGAGAAGGGGAGGTGGGCGACGGCGCGCGTATGCGTGGTGACGCCAAGGGTGGGAGGCCGAAAGGTCGTTTTGCACTGCGTTTTGTGACTCGTTCAGGGACTCAACTTTCTAATTGCGCTGCGCTGCGCGGTATATGTGGTGGTGATTGGGTTGGGTTGGGTTAAGATAAGGGTTGTCTTGTCAGGTTGCAGAGTGTGGCTAAGGGCTCGTTAAGAGGCGGTGAGGGACTTTGTGCCAGTATGAGAAGTTTGGTGATGGGACCGTGTCAAAAAAGGCTGTAGCTGGTAGCTGTCTGTCTGTCTGTTTATCTGTCTATCTGCGCCGTAGGTAGGTATACGAGCGCGCGTCAAGACATGTCAAGAGGAGGGGGTTTAAAAGGCAGACAGGACGGAAAGCTGTCCCGAAGGCATCACGTCAGGTGTCAAATGGAGCGAATGGTAAATATGATAATCGAAATAGGCTGTGATGTGGTCTGCGGTCTGCGGCAACCTCGTCTATGCGTATGTAGGTCTGAAGGTATGATTAGCAGGGGGATTTAATTTAGGCGGTGTCTTTTTGTGCAGACAGAAATTTTGGTGGTGATTGCCGTAATGGATATGAATTGAGATGAGCGTTTGTATGTGTGGTTCGAAAGCAAATTGTGATATTCTGAATGCATAAATGCGCAGATGATGCCAAAGCTACCCATGAAGCCCCCATGAAAGGTTACGTGTCTGAGACGTGAGCTACGGAGCGACGTTTCTAGCTGGGTAGCGCGCCCATCTCTAGCAGGCAGCATCCTGCAGAAGTTTGCTGAGAGTAATTTTTCGAAAGTGTTTCTATATTTTAGGGTGTGCGCGAAGACAAAGGAACACGTTCTAAAGTGTCGCCCCAGGTCTCCCCAAAGGACGGAGCCAAAGGACGGAGATAAAGGGAAAGCGTTACCTCGCCCACAGAGTCATGCAAAACCTACAAATGTTAAGTTGTTAGCTCATCCAGGTGACGACGGGCCATCCAAGCCTGTCCAAATACTTCTACCTATCCCCTCGTAAGTCAGGCCAGAATGCTTCTTTGGAATCATATGATTATGGATTGAGAGCAACATAATTAAGGTTTTCGTGATTATGATTAACGTTGGCTCTTTGGGCTTATTAATGTGCCTTGCGCTGTGCCCTTGCAACATAAAGATCCGACATCGAGAAAGGGCAGATGCTAGGTTATCATCATAACTGGTGCGTTTTACAAGCCTGGAAATGAAACCGAGAAACTTTTTGCCGGGTGCAGGTGTAGTTACTACGACGTGAGGTACGAGAGAATACGACGACGACGCTTATAAGTTATCAACATCCGTGCTGGTATACCCTGACTTCCTTAGTACATCAGTCGCCACAGGCTGCTATTCATGTTAATGAAGATTGCGCTCCTATCTCTGATAGACAACGCACGTTGCACGCACACCTTTAACATATTTAGGATTAGAGTTATATAGGTAGGCTCGTAACGATGGCTGCGCATCCAGCAATTGGAGGTGGAGACGCGCTGGATTTCGTTTACGGGTCAGCGCCCTCATCGCCTGCAGGCGGGAGGAAAAAGCCATCATCACCAAAGCCACCATCTCCAAGGTAATGGCGTCCAATTACCTTGCAAGGTTGCAAGCGTCCTCCAACCTCGATGCAAACAACCTGTACCTCCTCAACGAAGAGGCCGCACGCTCTCAGCATAAGCAAACGTATATATACTTTCAGACTGATAACGAAATCCTTCTTACCTTGCGGTTCGATGTGCAGCGGGCAGTAATTCTGGGGATGTTGCGATGTTGTGGGCGCTTCTACCCCTTTCTGCGAAACGCGTCTGCATACAAACAGCATTACGATATTATACGTGAACCAGTTGGCGCAGTGCCTTCCGTGCACCGCTCCTAGGTAACCCCCGCAGCAGGTGTGGGATCCCCCAGCTGCTCCAAACCCCATTTACTTTTAAACTTAATCGCCTCTACGACTCCCGCCCCGTGACACTACACTACACACACACACACACACAGTCCCCGCCGTCCCCCGGTCCAGTGTGCCATTCCTCGGCACACCGGCCCCCCAAACCCCGCAGCCATGCCATCCGCAGGCCCCCCTTCCTAGGTCTACCCCTCAGCTTGTAATTCAAAAAACGGTCCAAATGCCCGAATGACCGTTTCTCTGTACGTATGTATTTACACGCATACACACGTATGTATCAGCACGCAGACGCGGCCTTGCAACGTCGTCAAGCCCAGTTCCCGTCCTCAACCCTACGACGCACGAGCGGTTCTTTTCCCCTTAGCACCCCCCCATATACACATAGCATCCACCACGATAGCATGCATCGCAGCATCGAAGTGCGAAAAATACAAATCCCGTAAAAGTATATTGATTATTCTGCGACTATCAAAAGTGTTCCATTTTCTTGCCTCGCAATGTATGTATGTACGTCTGTATTTTCAACTGAAGTACTGTGTAATCATGTATGTATGTAAATGGCAGGTTGGGCCGGACAGATGGCTGGGTGGTGCCCACACCATCTCCCGGGCCAGGCGCCTACAACCCCTCCGTCGCCATGGTTGTACCGGTATGTATGTATGTATGTATGTATGTTGTTACAGGGTGGTTAACTTCGCCAGCGGCCCCCTTTCCCGGGGCAGTCCCTGCTCTCCCCTGCTAGAGGGGCACCCTAATCCGTCACCCCATCCGACTTCAGAATGTATTCGTTGGGTTCGGCAACTCACCACCAGCATCCAACCAAATCTAGCGGATCAACGGCGCATCAACTTAGTTCCTGGTCAGCTCGCAAGTTGATATTATCACGTCCTACACCGTCCATATGATGGGGGGCCACCTCCCATTACATCACTCCTCAAACACCCGAGGAGCCGGCAGGCGGATTTGAACCCGGGTCGACTGGGTCGACTGGGAGCAGAAGTCAGGCCTTAACCTCTGCCAGCCGCCTGCCTGTATGTATGTATGTATGTATGTATGTATGTATGGAGGGATGGAGGGATGGACCGGTAATTGTGTGTATGCCTATGTATGTATAGACCCACATGGGAGCCTGACCCGTGGGTCGGGAATCCGTCTGTAAGTCAGTGCCCTGATTGCCCGTCCCGATTCAGTGCGTGTGGGTGAGTGCTACATGGCAGGTGTGCCGTACATGGTGTTGATGGGCCCCTTCTCACCCACCACGCTCCTCTCCTCCTCGCAGGCGTCAGAACGTGCCGTATTCGGTACGGCATATCGCGAGCAGGAGGAGAAGCGCTTCATGTCCGCACTTCACACTGTGGGGATGCCCAATGCGGAAACTCCGGGGCCGGGAGCTTACCGGTGTGTGTGTGTGTGTTGGTGTGTGTGTGCTGGTGTGTGTGTGTTGGTGTGAAGGTGTTGGTGTGAAGGTGTCACGGGGGGGTTCCTGGGGTATGTGTGAAGAGCGGGGCGGGGGGTGAGGGGTGGGGAGGACGGCATGCTGCTGCTGCTTCTGATGGTGATGGTGATGGTGATGGTGATGGTGATGGTGATGGTGATGGTGATGATGGTGGTGATGGTGGTGATGGTGATGCAAGGTGCTGAACAAGGTGTCAATCGCCCTCAGGTCAACATTCATCGCGGCCTTCCACCTCATACTCCGCACACCCTCCCCACCTCCCCCCCACCTCCCTCCCCCCCCCGCACCTCCCACACACACACCCTCCCCCAGCACTGCTGACAACCGGCTGCTGAAGACGGAGAAGTCCGCCAAGTTCGGCACCGCCCCCCAGCGCCCCGATGTGCCCAAGGAGGCGCTGGGGAAGCCGGGGCTGTGTACCACCTCCCTCCACGCTGTCGG